AAGTGTAGCTCATCTGCATTTTTCTTTCCCTGGAACCTAAATGTATATTATGAATTTGAATCCATCAGAAACTAAGTCAGTCAAAATCAAATTTAACTACATACGAAGTGAAAACAATTTGTATTTCGCAAATCAAAGTGATTGTTAAAGCAACCAAACTGTGTCAGAAATGTTCCCAAATTACTGGGTAAGGCTTTTATCAGCTCATCATCTGATCCAATAATTTTAATTGTGGCATTTCATTCGGCATGTCGCCGCACGACTTCTATGATACTCAAAGTCTCACATATATAATTTGAAAGGGGGGGGTCTGGGGGGGCGGCGCCCCCTCAGCAGGTAGCTTTTGCTACTTGTTTCAAGAAAGAATGACATTACTCTCACAATTTTTCCTTGAAAGTCTCGTAGTTGAAATTTGCTTGCCTCTCTTCTGACCTAAGAGTCTTCAAAATTACCAGGATCGTTTTGTCAAAAAATCACTCCTAGTGAATTTCCTGAAATATTTTGTGTTTGAATCAACAAAAACAAACTTGAAATAAAATATTCTCAGAAGGTGCCTCTCGTTTTATCCGTTGCTTCTGCTTTGGTATCTAATGTAAATTTTATGGTCGAAGATTCTGATCCAGTCCTATAATGATTAAAAGATAGAATTGAGTTGAGGGGATAGATCTTTAATGAAGATTGAATTACATAATAACATGTGTGTTTCATTAAAATTATTTCTCATCATTTTTGGCTTCTCAAAACCCATGGAAATTGCCTGAAATCCTACTTACGGTCATATAAGAAATGAATGCCCGGCTAAATGACTTGAAGTGAACATTATTAAGAGTATTCCTCATCGCTCATTTCTTACTCTCGATAGTTTTTTGTTGATGTTTGTGATCGTGAATGCAGCTGTCTCTTTGACTACTTTGAACAAAGTGGTTTTTCTTTTGATGCTTCCCAGGGAGAAAAAATTATTGGTAGGGTCTGATGATTATGGCCGAGACTTAACTGGTGTTCAGAACTTGAAGAAGAAGCACAAGCGTCTCGAAGCAGAGCTTGGGTCTCATGAACCAGCAATCCAAGCAGTCCAAGAAGCGGGCGAAAAATTGATGGATGTTTCAAATCTAGGAGTGCCTGAAATTGAACAGGTTTGTATCTATATTTTCCGCACCATATGAAGAGCGCAGTTAAAGAACTGTTGTGCAGTGTCCATTAGTGTAAAACATGTAGAAATACTGAAGTATTATTATTCTGAAATTTTATTTCAAAATGTCACGAGTCCTCGAGTGTTATTTGATCTGATCGAGTTGTTGTATTCTCAGTGGAAAGTTCGTATGTATCAAGGTTAGACTTATAAGAAATGTGGGCATTAGTCTGACAGCAAACCAAAATTGTCTTTTTCAAATCATCCTGAACCTCTTGCAGTCTGATGGGCAAAACTGCGATCTCTTGTATCGCTAGAAACCGGTTTTTAGGTGTTTAGTACCCAATCATGCAATGGATTCTATTTTCTACTGTTCCTGCATTCAAGTATTCTCATGAAAATTTGCTTGGTTAGTTTTTTATCCGTGTCACTTTTTTCAAAGGTTTTTTGTATATAACTCTTCTCTTGTCTTACGCTTCTAGCGCCTAAAATTACTGAACCAAGCCTGGTCTGAGCTGAAACAACTGGCTGCCACTCGTGGTCAAAAATTGGACGAGTCTCTTACGTATCAACAATTCTTGGCAAAAGTTGAGGAAGAGGAAGCATGGATAAGGTAAATGGAAACATTTTTGAATAACTTCTGCCGTGAGCATTCTTAAAAATATTTTATCAGCCTGAAAAGGAGACGAAACTATCAAACCTGCAAAAAAGTAAATGGTCAAAATTTTAACTCGTACTGTTAACCCTCGTTAACTCGAATCAAAGTAAAATCGAGCTTAAATTCGACTGAAGTGGAAATTCGAGTGAAGCATCTATCTCTTAATACAAATTTTCTCCGCCGGGGAGTACAGAAACGTATATCGACGGTGTAAGTCGGCAATCACATAACTCGTTTGCGGTGTCTGAAAATCTCTGCCTCTCTATTATTTTTTTAAAAGAGAACAAATTGACATCATTCCTTGAAGTTTATGCAGAATTTTCTTTGCACAGAGAAGAAATACCACGGAAGTTTTAGAGAATTGCTGTTGATCAGTTTTCCGTTTAAGAAATAAAGTATGACAGGAAGTCTGCGACGTCGTAAACCGAGTTATGTGATTGCCGACTTACACCGTCAATATAGGTCTCCTGAGCATGACATTCAAAAGCAAACAACTGTCAACTTATCTGACGCAAGCACTAACGAAATGCTGGAGGATGAGCCATGTGAATCAAAATTCTATTTAAACAAAAGGCTTCAGAAAAGCAGACATTACTCCCTTGTAGAAAGATCCAAAATATTGTCTCCAAGATGAAGTATCCAAAAGAAACTTTTTTGCATTCTTCAGTAGCAAATACTTGTAAAAGACAGGTTGTCTCAAGTACTAGTTTGAAGGCATGCTCTTCGATCTTACGTTCAGCAACTGAGAGCAATATAATGGCTTTTCATCAAAATGTATGACTTATGCTTTAAATTCTAACTTCTCTCCTTTTACAAATTTTTTACCGTTTGATTTACAGTGAAAAACAACAACTTTTGAGCGTAGAGGACTACGGAGACACCATGGCTGCTGTTCAAGGTCTTCTCAAGAAGCACGACGCATTTGAAACTGACTTTGCTGTTCATAGAGACCGCTGCGGAGAAATCTCCAGCGCAGGATCCAAACTTATGGAAGCGGGCAATCATCACTCTGACAGTATCATTCAGCGTTGTCAACAATTGCAGGTGACTATTGTTTCTCCAATCCTAGATTATGATTTTTTTACAAGCAGGAACTTTGACTTCATGCATCGAAATGCGTCACCATCTTGATTAAGAGTTACTGTCTATAATTTTTGTCGCGCAAATTCTACATGAAAGTTTGAGAAGAAATTTATATAAATTATTATATTATATAAATATTATATATATAAATTATTATATAAATATTTTCACCTTGCGTAGTGGTTCATTTTTGTTTCCAGCAATAGAGCAGATAATTTTGGCCCATTGAGGCGAAAATATTTAGTCCAATGTGATATATGAGTTCTTCTAAATTTTAAATTTGATGCAAGGAAACCATGTCCACCTACCCCTCCTTACAATTAAGCAAGATTTCCTTTGATCCCAACGTTTCCTATCTTTCCAACTTGATTTTTGTTTGAATTTCCTCAGAGTAAATTGGACAATCTCTCCTCTTTGGCTGCCCATCGTAAAGCCAAGTTGATGGATAACTCAGCCTACCTGCAGTTCATGTGGAAGGCCGATGTTGTAGAATCATGGATCGCCGACAAAGAGTCTCATGTTCGCTCTGAAGAATACGGCCGAGACTTGTCCACTGTTCAAACTCTCTTAACAAAACAGGAGACATTTGATGCAGGTGAGCTTGAAAACAGCTTCTTTCAGTCTTTAACTTCTCCGTCATATTGTTTCCCACTTTTCTTGCTTGTGAGCTATCTTTCACCCTGTCAACCAACAGATGCCTCTCTCGATATTTCTTGATAGCAATTTTGCTTTTCAAAGCCCTCTGTTGTGTATATTGATACTTTTGGATCATTTTCGACGAAAGTATCAATGTATCTCATGAGCAGGGTCGATCTCTTTGTGTCTTCAGACATAATCAGTATTCAGCATATATTTCAAACAAACAAGTAGGACACATCAAATGCCTGAATGTTTGAATGCATTAATAGCTGTCAAATCTAAAAAATTTACAAATAGGAGAATATCAAGGGAGGATATCTTTTCCGGATTCTCCTCTGAAAGTGAGATGTGGAAAGAAAACGATCTTTGATTTTGAGTCCTCATTTGACTTCAATTCAATGTAGATGATTTTTGTTACGCTTATCAAATCGCTTTTGTTCCGCTTAGTCCATCAAATCTTTGGTATACAAGAATTGTCTCTCTTAATATTGATAAAAATATTGATTCCATGCTCCGATTTTAGGTCTCCACGCATTTGAACATGAGGGTATACTGAACATCACAGCTTTGAAAGACCAGCTCATCAGAGCGAATCATGATCAGTCTCAAGCCATTTTGAAGCGACACGCAGATGTTATTGCCAGGTTTGTTGTTTTAATCTTAATCTCAAGGTATTTTTTCATCGTTAAAGAAGCAATTGCTGGCTCAACAGTAATGTGTAAATGAGATGAATTTTGATTAGGATGATAATGAAAAAGAAGAAATCAAATCATGTGTCATCAATTCACAAGCAGATGTGTGTCAAAAAATTCAGAAGTAAAGTCAAAGTTGACCAAAATTCATAGTGATAATGACTGGCCAAAAGCTTTTTATTTTATTGAAGACAATTTTTGGATAGTGATGATGATTTTAAGAATTTGAACAGAGAAAATATGTGACCAATTGAGGTGAAAACTACTCCAACTAAGTTCCCCTAAAATTATATTTTAGTTTTAGAGTTGTCTCTATTTTATATTTTGTAGTTTTTGATGGCTGAAGTTGAAACATATGTATTTTAGACTGTGACGCTGTATATCTTTGCTCATGTTTTATTTTTTTAAAATATTAAAATTTCTGGTGAATTTTCTTCACTTTTCCTAAAAAATGCTTACAGAGTTGCAGGGAAGTATTTTGATCAGTTTTACTTGAAGGAAATGCAACATAAACTGAGAATTTTAAACGATACAATTGAGGCACACATTTTTTACATTTCGCCATCAAGTAATTTGCTAGATAACAACTAGCAATCCCAAAGCTCATGTTGTTTTTTCTTTTAAATTGGATTTTTCTTTTAGTATAATTTGAGTTTTTTACTTAATTGGACAAATCGTCAATTGAAATAAATTAAAAAAATATAAAAAAGTCCCTCTAGATCTTCTTTGATTAAGTGAGTCCTAGTAACATTTTTCCAATAACATGCTAAAGAGTAAATAAAAAAAAAAAAACTGTAGCTCCATGGAAAAGTACTGTTGGAGTATCTAGTGAAAGTTTCCTTATTTTATCAAGGATCAAGATACTTATTCAATTGCCGGCGAAAAAACTTGCAAAGAATGTTAAACGTCAATGTGTAAAATTGTGCTAACCAGTCACAAAGTGATATAATATTTTGTATCCATCATGATTTCTTTAATCCGTTTTAGTATTAATGGAATACCCTCATGAATTTGAAATCTTATTTGGACTGCTTTTTCAACAAAGTGTGTCATTAATTTCATAATTTTTCAGCTGATACTTTCCTCATAATTTGTCAGGATATTAGTAAACTTAACATTAATTTGGCGTCATTTTTTGTCTCGATACAGATGGCAAAAATTATTGGGAGATTCTAACACACGTAAACAGCGACTTCTCCGCATGCAAGAACAATTCCGACAAATCGAAGAGCTGTATTTAACCTTTGCCAAAAAAGCATCAGCATTCAATTCATGGTTTGAAAATGCAGAAGAAGATCTCACAGACCCTGTGCGTTGCAATTCCATCGAAGAAATCCGTGCCTTAAGAGAAGCCCATGCTCATTTCCAGGTAATGCGTCATTTCTACTTTATGCTCTTTCTCACTGTCATCAAATAAAATTACTTTTTTCAAGGATTCAAATATTATGACTCATGTCTGGAGGCTTTTATTCTTATCAAGGGAGCGTTTATGAACTATGTTTCTCCATTTTTGACCTCCCCCTTCTCCCACCCTCCCCTCCCGTTTTTGTGAAGTAGGTCCTATCCTTCAACACATCAAAACAAAATGGCATAACGTCCTCCGCAACCCCCCCCCTCCCCCCGGCCTATAGCGTCACATAATTTATGAAATGCCTCTAATCCGTCCATTTCAAGTTTACAAATACTTTCGCATGCCTCTGCAGAGTTATAGAATCCAATTTTTTTTATTATTAATTCAGTGGGATGCTTTAGCTGAGAAAAAGCAAAAGTGCTATTAAACCCATATGGCCTTTCCCCCTTTTTCTAACTTGCTGTTCAATCTGTTATCATTTAGGAAAATCTCCAAAGACCTTCTGACAATGTAACTTTAAATAAATATTGTGTCTCAATTAACATCAGTACTTTAAGTGTGAAAAAATTTAGCATGCTTTATTTCCATGCCAACTTCAATTAATTTTTGATAGAAAGTATGGTGTAATGAGACCTGTGAAAGAATTGTGTGTGTCTTTACATATATTTCCCCTTTAACCTTGAACATTTTTCTTTACTTGGCTTTGTTTTTAGGCATCTTTATCATCTGCTCAAGCAGATTTTGAAGCGCTAGCTGCATTAGATCAGCAGATCAAAAGTTTCAATGTTGGACCAAATCCTTACACATGGTTCACAATGGAAGCTCTTGAAGATACATGGAAAAACTTACAAAAAATCATCAAGGTAAGAAGAATCATGATGACTATTTTCTCATCCCTAAGAAAACCGAGCTCTCTTTTTTTTTTTTTTTTTTTTTGGTGAAGAGACTGCATGTAGAAACCTAATAATAATTCATATGCTCATCAATTTTCGTGTTCAATTGAAGCAAATAGGAGGAATAAGCACATCAAAACTCACCATTTCAGTATTTGCAGCTTGCATTTAGCCTCAATACGTAATTTTAAAGATCATCAAAGCCAGCACTGTTTGGGATTTAAAAATTCAATTAAATTATCAAGAAATAAGTGGACAAAGAAGTTTTCTTTTACATCATTTTGCAGCAGAAACCTATTGTTATACTTATATAGTGCATCTGTTTAACATTCATCAATGCCCAATAATATATGAGCATTATATCTCAGCAGTGTCAATTAGGGATTGTTGGAAAAGAACGTTTTGGAGCAGGGTTTACTTCATCTGACTTTCCTTGTTTATTTTCTTTGTCTTTTTGTTATAAAACTGCCTTACCCTCCGTACCGTACCATGTGCAAAAATGCCTTTATCACAAACACCGATCAACTTTTCACCTGATTTTTTTTAGACCTTGTCTTTGTACTCTAATAATTTGTTTCTTCTCCAGGAACGGGATTTGGAACTCGGAAAAGAAGCTCAAAGACAAGATGAGAATGACAAGCTGCGGAAAGAATTCGCAAAGCACGCCAACACCTTCCACCAATGGTTGACAGAAACAAGGTACAGAATTTGATTTTACACATTATTTATTAGTCAGTCTCATCTCTCTATCTAGAAAGGAAATTTACTTATTAAAGGTATTCCTGGAGCAATGATTCTTGAAGCTTCTTTATACTGACGGTAATCATCTCTTAATTAAAGTTCCGAAGACATGATTTCTTAATCCTCACAGCTTTGGTGTCCTTTGTTACATTTCTTATTGACATGAAAAAGTTTAACAGGGCTCAGAATTCCCTTCAAATTTTATCCAAACTCTCCTCAAATTTTATTCAAACTCTCCTCAAATTTTATTCTTTTATTAGAAGTGATCATTCCAGTAAATTGATATCCTCTAAATGAGCCTGTGGAGACTCTACAGAGGGGAGAGTAGAATCAATTTTTCAACTTTTTAAGATCCTCATTTTTCAAAATTGTTTCTAAAAGCTGTTTATTTTGACTCATTAGAATCTATTATTTTCTCATGCATTTCAAAGAATTTTTTTCTGTTACTTTATTTGTATCTTCTTTGTAAACTATTATCTCTTGTAGTTTTCTTGTGGTAAATTTTCTTTCCAACCTTTTTTTGTTTATATTTTTCCATTTTTTATCGCTGCACCACTTTGTGACATGAATTTCTTGAAATCTCCTGATTAGATATCGATTACTTGGATGGGATGGGTGAATATCCTCTTCACTATTATCAATTAACTTGGTTTTTTTTTTCTCTGAGTTTGCCGTGTGATCTTTGCGTTGAAGTTTCAGGAACTAACAATCAAATTTCTGATACCCTCCTAATATTGTCCTTTTCAAAACAGTTAACATCGTGTGGACTCCTAAAGTTTGATACAATTCCAGCTGATCAAAATTTTGCCTCTTATGTAAGCATGTAAAACAACAGAGTTGACCGTGGACTGGTGTTTTATAAGTACTATAGCAGAGTGTAAAAAATTCTGAATGACACCCACCTGATCCTAACAACAGCTTTCAACCACTTTTATTTTATCTTAGTGTGTTTTTATTTTTGAGCTCCTTTTTACTAACAATTGAGCATTTTTAGATGTGACAAGTCATTTTTGTGTCTTTACTTTCTTCCAACATTATTAGTTTCGATGACATGTGCTGGAAACTAAGAACATTCCAACTAAGCTGAGAAAATCTGAGAACGATCTGACTGTCGTCAGTCAAAAATTATTAAATTTTATTGCAAATTTCCTAACTGATAAGCAGTTAAATTCCTTTAGACTTCATTAGCATGATTCATTGGTATTTTTTCTTGAAGAGAGATAGAAAGTTTAGAAAAGTGTCAGTTTAATTTCATGACAAGTGCCGAAAGTAACCTAAAATTGTAGCACAGAAGTTTTGAAACTTTCTTTGCAATAACTCACTGTTTTTCATTGATTTTTCAGAACCTCAATGATGGAAGGCTCAGGGTCCCTAGAGCAGCAGTTGGAAGCAACCAAGGTATGTACTTTCTTCTGATAGAGGAATTATTGCAAAATTTCCATCAAACTTGCAATTTTCTAGAAATGCCATTCAACATGTTTTTATCCCAATGGACTTAGATAAATCTCTTTACTATATTTGTAGGAGCCTGATTTTAAATTTGTACTTCATTTCTGGTGTATTGTAAGTTAGTAACCGGTGCAGGAAGTTTGATGACACAATCATTTTAATTTTTGAAGAATTTTTTCGCATATTTCCCCTGTAACAACTCTGTACAAGACGTGAATGTTCAAGGCAAATTGTTAATTCCTTTTCCAATTATATTTTTTCATTACGGAGCACTAAAATAGAATCTTAACTTCCTCTGTTTGATTCTATTTCCAGAGCAAGGCCACTGAGGTGAGATCTCGACGCTCTGATCTATCAAAGATTGAAAGCTTGGGTCAGATTCTGGAAGAACACTTAATTCTGGACAACCGTTACACGGAACATAGTACAGTAGGTCTAGCGCAACAATGGGATCAGTTGGATCAACTGGGCATGCGAATGCAGCACAACCTGGAGCAGCAAATCCAAGCCCGTAATCAATCGGGTGTCAGTGAAGACGCACTGAAAGAATTCTCGATGATGTTCAAACACTTTGACAAAGATAAATCGGGCAAATTGGATCAAAAAGAGTTTAAATCGTGTCTTCGAGCCCTCGGATATGACCTACCTATGGTTGAAGAAGGACAGCCAGATCCTGAATTTGAAGAAATTCTCGGTAAGATGCGACTGTTTAACTTTTCTGTCTCTCTTGTATGAATGATAAATCAATGGTTCCAGTGTGGGTGAAATGCATAACACCTATGATAAATCAATGGTTCCAGTGTGGGTAAAATTGATAACACCTCAGAAATAGCTTAAGTATTTTGTTTAGTTATATTTTAAGTCCTCAATTATCCTCAAGTTTGAGGATATCGTAGACCAGAGATGCGTTTGTTATAGACAACACAAAAAAAACTGTTGAGTTTGCCGTTTAGTTACCCGCTGCCCTACTACTCGTCTCGTGACTGTCATGGCAGCAGAACACCCAGTTTGATTGTCGTCAACGCGTCTCTTTGATTTTTTGTTTTTAAAATACCTATGAAATGATATCTTATGGCCGACTCTGTGTGAGTTAATTATAATCTTATTTTCTTCGTTTAATTTTTTATTAAATTTTTGGACCTATGAAAATGTAGTAGTGATTCGGGTTTTTCTCATCTAACAATCACAGGAGTTAAAAATAACACATGTGCGGCGAGCGGGTAAACACCACTAATGACAAATTTCTAGGTTATGTACACTCAACAATCCAGCTCCGCAGTCTTCGAAGGTGCTAAGATTCCCAATGGGCTGTTGAGCTGCCATGACAGTCGCAGGGTAATCAGCAACAAGTCAACATGAGTTCAAGAACAATTTGAAAACTCCCTACATCACCGGAGTAGGGGAGGGGGGGGGGTTTCACTGGGTAAGCAACAAAAGGACTAATTTCTATAACAAACACAACTATGTATTGGGACCATATCATCTGGTCTTTTTGTTCACTATTTTTTGGACAATTGATCTTCGTTGTAACCCAGAAGTACAAATATTTGTTCTAATGGACTCATCTAAAAAAAATTTTGAAGGCTTTACTCATTTTTGTCTCAACGGCTATTTCAGGATGACCACCCTATCATCAGGTAATAAAATCAATAATGCCTGATTTCTGTTCTGCTAATGCTTTTATTTTTGTACTTGAGCCTTGCTCACCAACTCATAATGAACGCAATCAATGGTTTAATTTTCTTTCTTTCAGATGCTGTCGATCCGAATAGGGATGGATATGTGTCCTTGCAGGAATACATGGCATTTATGATCAGCAAAGAAACTGAAAATGTGCAAAGTTCAGAAGAAATTGAAAATGCTTTCCGTGCAATCACTGCATCTGACAGGCCTTATGTTACCAAAGAGGAACTATACGCTGTAAGTACAAATATCACTTTTCTTCATGTTTTATTGTCAGTGTTGAAACGCACCCCAAAACTTCTGATGAATATTTATGCTATATTATGCTATATGCTGTGTAAGTACCCAATACTGGTGTATGCTTGATCTTGAAACAGAAGAACTTTTTGAACAGTCTCAAAAACTGGTCATTCTCAGTAGGAGATTTTGGAATCTCAAGAACAATGTTTCTGTTGTTTGCAGAGGCAAATTTTAGGATCTAGTTATGATTGCACTTATCTATCTATTATGCACACTTCAAACGTCGTACATATAAAAATACACGCAATACGTTTAGCTATGTAACTTGTAATACATGTAATTGATTTTCAGATTGACGAAGGAAGTGAGGCAACTTGTCGATCAATCATATTACATTCCAATAATTTTCTAAGCCTCAATTGTCTCTTCATTGTGCATATTTTCTCTATCCCACATTTTTTTTCTTTCAGAACTTAACCAAAGAGATGGCAGATTATTGCGTAGCGCGTATGAAGCCATATGTGGATCAAAAAACAGAAAGGCCAATCGCTGGTGCCCTCGATTACATTGAGTTTACAAGAACTCTCTTCCAAAATTAATCAACTCGCCACTCTTCCCTGCTTGTTCAAATATAATCGTAGCTTTACTTGCTCTTTAGCTTTCATTAGTTTTATTGGATGCCTAAGGATCCCAAGTCATATTTTAAATCCAAATGATTTTTTAAGTCCGAGTTTTTCATCAACCAATAATTTATCAACTTTTTACAGTTATTTCGTAAAATTTATGTAAAAGGTGCTATAGACTGTTCTTCATTCGATTTTTATTGCTAAAATTTTCAAAACCATTCCTCTGTAAAATCGATCTTCAAATATTTTTTGAAAAAATATTTGAACCATGTCTGGATTCCACAATTTAACATCCTTCTCTTCTATAAAGTTAACTGCTTTGCTTGTAAAGTTCTTCTCATTCGTTTTATCCCTCCTATGGATGATAATTGGAAGAACATATGTTCCTGTACTTAGTGTGCATCACAGTTTTATGTAAGCATTATCATTGAAACAAAACATTTTGCAGCTTTTAAGTTTAAACTTTAATGCCTATGGTTTTATTGCTGTATGCATCAGTTTTTTGACAGTAATTTGTCAATGTTAAATTTACTTAGTAATTGCATATTCCTATTTGCACAGAGATTTATCTTGCGAGGCCACACGAAAGGTGGAAATGCACCTGCAAGTGTAATTCTCACCTAAAGGCCTCACACTCACTCGATGTAAGATGACTGGTGGAAAGCTCCTCCTGTCAGCTAGCTAATAAGAATTTTATGATGACTCAGTAAATGAATCAAGAATGAAGGCTTAAGCATTTCTTAGCTTCTTTTAATGTAAGATTAGAGTATTTATTTATTTATTTATGTTATTTATATTTTATTTATGTGTGAATATTTTTATTGCCCAGTTGAGAATTTGACAGCAATGATCACCGTCATTTGAATCGCAAAAATTGAAATTTTCCTGTCTTCAAGAATCTCAATTAAAAATTTATTCCAGAAACATTCAGCAAGTTTTTGTCGTACCTATCCTTAACATCTTCCTCATCGGTTCGATTATTTTATGAATGATCCATAATGAAGTGCACAGGGATATTTTGATTTTCGCAATGACATTTTTTTAAAGATGAGGAAATCAAGTTGTTTCTCCAATCAAACTCCTTGATTTCAAGACCTAATGAAGGTATGGCAGTGATTTTATGTGGGTATACTTTTAAAAGTGAAAAATATCATTTATTTCAAAGATTATGATTCAGTTTCATCAATATCAGTTAGTACCCACACTTCTCATTCTAGGATCAATCAATAAACTATCAATAAAAGAAAGACGTAATGCAAGGAAGTATTGAAATTTTAAAGAAAATAATAATGAGTACTTTATAAACCAAATCCCCTTCCTTATCTGTGAACAGTGTTTTATAAGAGATGCTTATTTTATGCTTTTGAATATCGACATTGACACCACATTAATTAAAATCACCCAGTTTTGAATTTGATCAGTGGGTGCTGCCTGGTGACTCTAATCAACCAATGCTATTGATTTTATTCTGGATCAGCTTCTCGTTACGATTGTTGGTAGGGAAATTTTTGAAAGCAATTCTCTCAACAAAATACTAAGTCAAATTGTGCCCCAAATCCACCTGTAATCTATTGTGTTTAAGTTATTTTTGCTTCTTTCAAATTATTTATTTTTTTGTGGTTTAAAATTCTACATTCTCTGAAATCAAATAAACTTACTTCATAAAATTTTGTACATCAATATTGTTACCGCTACTAACATAAAATACCGCTACTAATAGCGGTAGCTCAACTACCGCTTTGGGTAGTAGAGTTGGACTAAACATATATCCTAATTACTTCACCTGAAAAAATCTATCCATTCATTCTTTATTCGTCAAAGGTAGTACAGAAAATTAGAACAGATAAATAAATCCTCCCTGCTTTATTTTATTTTAACCTAGGATAAACAACTTTCTTCAATGTAATGAATTTTGTTTTAATTTTTTTTTTTACCAACAAAAAATCGAAATTAAAAATATTTAAACAAAATTTAATGCAATAGTTTGCAGTATTCCTCTGAAAGTAAAAGTTAAAATTCTGAAACTCTGCGATTGAATTATCATGTGTTTTTTCTAGTTTCACTGTCCAAGTGCAATTTTCTACGAAATACCATGGGGAACTCAAAATTTTTTATGCATAAGATTTTGCTTCATTAATCTATTCCATAAAAAGTAATGGGTGGGGGCGCAATCAGTGACTGACTTTGGCTTGGGGTATTATTGAAGGGTTGAAATGCAGCCAACTAAGCTCATTTAAAGGACCCAGGCTTGCCAAAGTTGATCAACCCTTAGACAGTAGATCAAGCCGCTAACTGACTTAACATCTCACCTGTCATTTTCTGTAGTATAGACCATAATAATAGAGTTCTGTGCACAAGAGCTGACGGACACAAGTTGAGATTTATCTAAACTACTCTTGGTTTCCTTTTAAAAATTAGAAGAAAAAAAAAATTCTTTTAACAATTACATAAATGACTCGAGTTTAATACCACTTATCCTTTCATATGATCTTTGTCAATCTACAATGAGTATACTACAGTTTTGCAGCAACTTCTTCTGCCAGTAATCTCTGAATTTTAAGGTAGCAATTGTGAGCGTTTTGCAAGCTTTTCTCTTATTATAAAATTGTGTTGTAGAGAAAGGGAAAAAAGTTTCAAAACAAATAAAATACACTTTACAGTTATCTTGATTTCAATGGAACACAATTGAGAATAGAAGTCACATTCTTATAAAATACATGAATGCCACATTTTAAAGCAATCCAACTGATTATTTTTACCTCGGTTTTTCTTTAATTTTTGCTCATGAGGAGAAAATTATTTCTGTTTTTTCATCATCATTAGCTGCAGAAGTGCGAAATCGCCAATGCCTCTTCCATTCTCATGCCATTATCTAAATGAATTTAAGGGTTGGATGTCAGATCAATTTTCAACTCGCAACTCCCTCAATAATCAAGAAAGTTCAACCAAACCTATAATCTCCTGTCATCAAACTGTAGCCATGCAACCAAGCCTGCAGCAATTTTATGTTTGTGTAGGTAGGTAAGTTGTCTTTTTGAACAATAGTGAAAATATTTCACTGTTCATTTCATTTTTATCTCCGGTGTTTAGAGGAAGAAGAGTTGAAGATAATCTGCATGTATCAACAGGTTACTACAATTTACTTCATAGCTTACTTGGCGTTACAAAATTGAACTGCGGTTGTCAAAGTAGGTACAATAATTCTTCTTGTCAAATTTTCTACTTGAAATATTTATCATTTATTAATTACTCACCGGCTCGCTAATTTTTGTTATATTTCGTTCGTATGAAAAAATAATATCGCAAGCTAGTGAGTAATTAATTAATATTAAATATATTAATATGTCAGTGTATCGCAGGAAGTTAAAATTGGTCATAGAATAAGAGATTAATTATTCTCATAGAACAATAGATTAATTATTTTCATAGAATAATTGATTAATTATTCTTCATAGAATAATTGATTAATTATTCTATGAATTGGTGCCGCACCCTCTATTCCCCTCCCATCACAACTGACAGCAATGCATTGTGGGAGGAAAAGTTCTCATTGGTTGTGACGTTGATATTTTCAGCTTTTTTACATTGGCCAATCATTGTCCAAAAACAGTTTCAAGTGTATAACATGTGACGTACAAAATTCACCGATTTCAACCAATCAGAGCCGACTTTGGCTAGTGTCCATGCCTTTACCTCTCCACTTTTGAGAACATAAACATCCATGTCTGAAGTCTGAAGCCAACAAACAACTCTCTTCAAGCAGGGCCTCCGTTTTGCGTATTTTAGGACGCAGTGCGTATTTTATGAAGCCGCGCGTTCCATTGTGCGTCTTGCGTATATTAGCGTATTTTATGTTGAAATTGCGTATTTTCGTATTTTTTCCCTCTGATACTCAGAGATTTGACAACACCAGACTTGCTTGACCAATAGGCAGGCTCTTTTGAGCAACATTGTAACCAGTGACGAGGTTGTTTTTTGTTGCCGCCATTTTGGATCCCATGTTTAACTATGGAACGCCGTTAGTGTCAAAACCCTTTTCTTGCGCGCGCGGAATTTTTTTTCGGCGCGCGGAAAGAAAAAACCCGTTTTCGATGAAAATCTCTGAATTTCCGGATTCCGCGCCGGTATTCGATATATTTGCGCCGTTTGTGTCGAAACTATTTTTTCCGGCGCGGCGCTCCAAATCTGTTCCGCGCGCGGACTTTTCGATGTATCGATTCCTGCTCGCCGCCGGCGCGGCGCTCCGAAATCTGTTCCGCGCGCAGAATTTTCGATATATCGATTCCTGCTCGCCGACTGTTTTTTCCGGCGCTGCACCAGAAAATAATTCCGCGCGCCACTTTTTCGATGTATCGATTTTTCTGCGCGCGGAGAATATTATCTCTCTTTTGAACGATTTCCATTATCGATCCTCTGCGTGCCCTATGGAACGCCGTTAGTGTCAAAACCCTTTTCTTGCGCGCGCGGAATTTTTTCT